GAACAATATTGGCAATAGCAAGATTGGATTATAAGAAAGGAATGTTAAAAAGTAAAACAATTTTTCAAAATTTAGTTTTTCAATTTTTTTACCCATGATACATGAAAATGCCAATTTTGCATTGGAACCATCATCTCTAGAGCTAGAGACCCCTCACTAGGATTTCTCAGAGAGCCCCTCACCCATTGCCCACAATATGCCTGATCTAGAGGTTAAAAACAAATATCATTGTATATTGTAAAGCGTTGTTGTACAAATGTTACAGAGACATATAAAGAATAACTAGCCTACATTTTAATTTTCCCGTGTTATTTAATTAATTTGCTTGTTTATGGATATATTTTGATCAAAATAAAAATGTAGGCTATTATAAAATACAATTAATAAAAATCAGGTATTATAAAATACACGAGTGTTCCAATTTTAAAGTTAGCTGCCATATTGTAAAATGGTGTCAATGTTTTTAACAGTTGAATTAATATTTTTAATGAACCGGTATTCTGTTGTATTTTTAGAATGAACCGTAGATGCCATTTCATGACATATTTATCTGTGAAGTACAATGTTCATACTTTAAAACAATGCATTAAAGACAAAGATATACGTTAACAACATTGTAAAAAATAATATTTAAAAGAATTGATTAAGGAATCAGACCATTCTAATACTGATAAAAAGTTCTGAAACTCGAACGCCCATGAACAGAATCTTTCAAAATCCTTTCTAATTTGACATCTATGTTTTGAATAGAATCAGGATCCAACAGCAAGCAGAACCTTGTGGTGAACGTCTATACCAGTGTTCCTTCATACAATTTAAATAATTAAACCGGTTTTGGTAATACGCTCTAATGTTTTAAAACTCTTAAGTATGTCCCCTTAACCATCTCAGTTTGTTTTGAAAAGAATCAAATTAACGATAGTTTTAGATACCTACACTGTAAAACTCGGACCCAACGTCTAGGACGGTTTGTTTTATTTTTGCTTACAAAACCTACGAGTAATATTTCTTGTATATACAAATCATTGAAACAAGTCAGGAAAGCAGAATTTCGTTTATCATCACACGCCGAGCGTGAAGTGGTGGGCGGAAATTAGGTCAAGATGATTGAGTCAAAAACTAGCTGACGACCTCTGATAAATCTGAAATCCCAAAACCGGTACCAAGATACTCCTAGAATGTGTTTTCAATCTCAGGAAATATTTATCCTCTCACAAAAATATATTGGTATGCCTATATCCCCACATACAAGTGCCGTGCAATATAACATTTTTTCATCAATTGCAAACATTAAATCTGCTTTGAAATAATCCTAAGTAATATTCGCGTGGACTTTAAATTTATGTTATCACAATTTTACCTCTGCATCTCTACCAGCGGGTGTGACGTACGTACGGCCTTGTGTATGTATAAAAGAAAATGTAATTGGCGGGGATACGTACAAACGTAAAGACGTTCAAGCAGCGCAACAGACGACGCGATCTCTCCTTCATCGCTACTTTCACGAGGAAACAGAGGATTGCACAACGAGTTTTATCTCAACCTTCCGTGGTCTAACACACTGTGTAAACAAACAACTGATGAGAAAATTTAATTGAAGTATTTGTTTTGTGCAGGTCTCATTATGAATGGAATCAATGTTAGTGGACATATACAATATGTATTTTGTGCAATGCCAGCACCATGCCGTGTCAAAATTCACAAAACATTAAATATTAATAATGGTACAATAGTTTTCCTTACATGTGAACTGTTTAAGCCCACTACAAATAACCCTAATATGTCGTATTATTTTTTTACAAACTGAAACCACAGTAAAGAATAGTAGTCACTCTTTATTCTGTGATAAAATACAATGTAAACACAGCTAAATATTTAAAGTATCTCGATGATGTTTGTGACCTGTGATAAATGGATAGGTACTATACAACCTGTACTACCATTGGCTTTTCCACTACTCCCTTATAGGATCAATCTATGTTGCTAATATTCAGATAGTCTTTTACGCATTAGACGTTTATTTTTCATCCACTGACCGTGTAGTATTTATTTTAAAATACAGTAGCAGCAAGTATAAAATAAACACCCGTATTGCGAATGTTGAGTTGTTTTCCATTCGCACGATTTGGATGCGTAGCGCAAGCGCACACGAGTGGGTAACGTCCAGCGTCGGCTGCCGGGTATTTCCTGTATGTTCTGTTTCCGGCAATAATATCATAGATTCAGATTGTCAGCTGTGGCATGGAATACCAAGATCAGATGGCAAATCAGGCTCGGTTGTTATGCCAACGATGGAACGAATAAGGCTTCAGGCTTATCGTTGACAAACAACAATCAGGCAGGGCTGACTGCTAGAATGGCAAGGCTGTTTATTATCGTGTTGGGCAGTACATCTATGGTGTCAGTTATCTTTCAAACTAAGCAAATACAATTTTTACCGATTCCATACAACTGCGAGTGTTTGTTGCTTGTGGCATGATTTAAACTTTCAAAATGTACAATGTACAACCTATATTATCGTAAAAATTTATCTTAGAAGAAATCAAATTTGCTTTCGGAAACTTTTAATGAACAAGATAATATATGGAAGTCATTAAACTGGTGATGTTGAATAATAGTGGGATTTTCCTCCTTCATAGCACGATGTACTACTACGTTTGTTTTGCGGAATGTGATAAAACTAAATTATCTTTGTTTTGACTGATAAGGTGTGTTCTGATAATCTTCTACTTACTATACTACATATTGGTGTTAGCAAAGGACGTAGGCCTAACGTATTCAACTGATAAATTAACTCCCAATCTATGGAGAAAAGCAATCTGAGAAAATGCCACAGTAAAATGTGTCCAGGGAATCGGACTGGTAAATAATTTTTTTCCAGAAAAAAATTCCATATTTGCAGTATATTTTCCTAGTTTTCGCCTAGTACAATTTGCTTTCACATACAATTCTTCAGTGTCCGTTAAATAAATATTAGTTTTTACATATCACTGACGTATTGTTTTGTTTATCTTTCTGCGTCCTATTTTGATTCGTGTTTGCAACGTAGAGAGAATTAAAAAGAAACATTGTGTAATACGCGACGTGAGCTCATCACACGTACTTTCCAAAGTCACTATATACACTAGGTACTCTTCCTCTACCACTACGGCCGCAGACGATCATTGGAACCGCATAATGTCTCCTGCACATTAGCACCGACGTCACGGTAATCACCAATAACGAGGTTTAATGACCTGATAATTGCGGGGTCACTTGCGACATACGTTACCATTGATTATAAACCATCGTTTATAATGTGCTTCAGTGCCTCAATCGTGTTGAAAACACTCGCTGTAATGTACTAACTCATTACATTGTAGGTTTGTCCTTACTTTCAGCCGATTTGGAGGGTGTAGTAATATATCTAAAATAGTTTTATGTCTTAGATGTAAAAAGTATGGAAATAGTTTATCTTACCCCTACCTTTGTGTTGATAAATATGTAGCCGTAGCCTATAGATATTTGCATCCCTCATTCCCTCAAACTACTTCTCCAGAAACACTTTTCATCCTCTTTATTGTAATTTGCTTGACATTTTTTTGTGCTAAGATAAAAGAGGTATTTTGAGGTTTTTTTTACCTTTCACCTTTTATCTCCATGATGCTGTTAAAAACATATTTCACAAATTATGTTAAAATAGCCACCAAGCCACCACACGTGATACAAAGTTGTGTACCAGATCTCACCACACTGTTATCTTCAACCCCTAAAACTCCATCATTTATGTCCTAAGGTTGTTTTGGTAAATCCATGGGCTTGAATTACTACCTGCCGTATTTTGTATAACTTAACCATCTAGGTACCTATCTCATTACAAAACTTCATGGTAAATTATTGGTTAAATGAATGAATGAATGAGTCAATGTATTTATGTACCTCATCAATTACCTTTTTTGTTTTTGTTGCCTTTAAGTTCTTGTTGATTTTTGATACTTGATGCGCATTTCGCCACAGGTTGTGGCATCTTTAGAGTTCACTATCCTACACTTACATTCTAATACACGAGAGTCACTGTACCAGTTCACATCGTAGCGTTTACACTCGCGGCGCGGCGGGCGTGTGTTGCGAGCGCGGGGTGTTTACCTCATCAGTAAGTACCTCATCAATAAAGCTATTTATTCTTTTAACGAGTTAGGCCTATAAAGTAATGCCAATTTTTACATTGTTAATAATTCTAAGAAACCTTTGTTTGTAATTTGTCAACACCTGTATTTTACACTATGTATTCTGTGATACAAACAAATAAAGATTATTTGAATTTAAGTTCCTAAATTTGGTTTATTCTTAACCTAGTTTGATGAGTATGCCTACCTATCTCCTTTTCATTGGCATGCACTGCAGTCGTTATCTCAATAAATGCATGCCAACTACACTACATGTAGTGGCTTGGCTATGTACTAAGAATGCCCATACTTATTCATGGAGGTATTGAATCTCTTTTGCCAGAGAGTTGTCTGTGCAGAGGTCCCAATGTTTGGCTCAATGTTTATGATGGACAAACTGGAAAATGCTTAAAGGGGTTTTGAAAAAACTTCCCTGGAGTCAGATTCAACATTAGTATTATCTTTTCAGGCCATCATATTATTATTAAAATATATAGGCCTACATGTAATATAGTTTTTTATGACATTTTTAAGTTCCTGAAAAGTGTGCAGATACTTTGATTATATTTCATGATCACGGCATGTTTAATCTCCTAACTAACTGTATTTAAAGTAACACATGATTGTGATAATAATTATTTAGAATGTTTTTTGTCAAAACAAAAACAGTAGGTCAATGTATGTTTACAGTTTTACAAGTAAGTCATGTTATTCTTTTTAAGTTAAATCAAGTTTGATTTTTATGTGATTCAATGCATTAAACAATGTTGGACACACCGGCATTGTACATATTCATTATTCATAAAACAATTTTATACCATTACAAATTTGAATATAAAATGCTTTTTCTTTTAGTTGGTTCTGCTTATGATGAGAACACAATCGAGGAGGCAAAGAAGAAAGTCTCGGAGGGACTGGATATGCTACCAGACAATGTGAAGGAAATCATTCCCAAAGGTTTGGACCCTGACAAAATACCTTCTATCGAGGAAGGAGAAGATTTGCTCAAGGAAAGATGTTTACGCTATGGAACAAATACATCATTCGATCAAGCTATGGTGAGCAATTTTGATTATGCTAATGCATATCCAAGCATAATTATAATTAGCATATCTAAGATTTTCTAGTTATCGGTAGGCCTATAATATAAAGGTCAAACAAATTGAAATTGGTTTCCTTTTATGTGACTCAATTTTTGTTTTTAGCGAATTTCCCATATAAGGAATAAGCTATTACCGTAGTACTCATGGTAAGACCTGGACGCGGGACCGATTTACTTTTTCATTTTGAGGTCCCTAGAGGCCAAAAACACCATCCGTTCAAATTCATATATATATATTTATATATATATTTATATATATATATATATATATATGTGTCCGTTAGCGCGATAACTCGAGCAAAAATTATACGATTTTGATGAAATTTGGTACAAACGTGTAAACCTACGTTTATTCGAACGAGTTCGCGATCCAGCATAATCGGACCATGGGAACAGGGGTTTATGGGGGGTTTTATGGGGTAAAAATGTGTTTTCCCCATTTTTTACCCAAAAAACAAAAAATTTTGCAATTTATTTGTAAACCGTTTTGTAGAGCTTAAAAAAAGAAATAATTTAGTATATTGAAGCGCTGTTGTATGCCTAACGGTCACGGAGAAAATTCAAAAATAGTTTAATTTTAAATTCCCATGTTATTCTTATGGAGAAAATAAAAATTGTTGTAGTTTACTTGTTTATGGATATATATTGATAAAATTTGGCAAATTTATTTATTTCATCCCATACTATTCACGTATGGTCAAAAACACTTTTTACCTTCCCCGGGGGTAGCGGATTTCTACCCCCGGATATTTACCCCCATGAAAAAACGCCTACGTCATTTTGACGTCACAAGGGGCGGGGCTTATACACGTTCGAGAAACAGCCCGCGACTGGAAATCTACCCCCGGACATCTACCCCCAGACATCTACCCCCGGACATCTACCCCCGGACATCTACCCCCGGAAATCTACCCCCCCCCCCGTGGTCAGCTCTGCCGCGTATCGGCCAATATTCATTTTTGTAATTGATTTTATAAATTGCTTTACCTTCTTATATCCAGTAGTAAACATGCGATATGTCGATGTCTGTTTCAACATTATCCATATTTATAATTCAATAAGTTGTAACAGTCCTTTTCAACCAGACCTACTTCACTGATTTTTACGATTGAGGTGTCTTTTAAAAGCTTAAGATCTAGCGCAGCACAAAATGGTAATTAAAAAGATATTTCGATTAGGGCTTCAAAAGGTGGACCCCTAAGCCTTTGATTTATTCCTAGAAGGTGCTTCCAATAGTTGACCAACTTTTACACTATACAGTAACAGTAAAAGTGAAATGTGAGCAGATTACTCATCAGATCAATTTTTAAGTCAGGTTGTGAAAACATGAATAGATAGTCTGCAACTGTAAACAGGAGATGAAAAAGTTATGAAAATAATATAATACTAGTGGCTTGTAGGGACATAATTCCCTAAAAAGCTCAAATGTAAAACAACGGATTGCAATTCCAGTATTTAAACAAACTCAGAATGACATTATCTGTTGTGTAAAAAACAGTTTGTTGCCCGTCTATGTTTGATTTATTTGTTGATGTTATTTTCAATAAATGATTTGAATCACACCAGAAAACACATCATTGTTTGTGATTCTGGTTTACTAAGGTAGCTTTGTTCTTATGGGTAATCAGGATAAATAAAAGCTTCCCTGATTGGAATTTTAGAAATCGTCTTCGTCAAATAAATATGAAAATATAGGTGTTTTGAGATATATAAAATATATATACATATAAAATGATATATATATATAAAATATTTCCCATTCCGTACTCTTATTATTATTTCAATGTTAACTGGGTTCTCTTCTTTTGGAAGAACCTTTAAATAGTATTAAAATCGTATTGGTCAATCTTTTGTGATAAACACTTCCGATCCGCGCTCATGCATGCGTTGTTAGCTGTTTACTGTATGTGAAAGTTGGTCAACCATTTAAATCACTGTCTGGAAATGAATCAAATGCTTAAGGGTCACACTTTTGAAGCCCTTTATCAACATATAGTTTTAAATGCCATTTTGCGTTGAGCTGGATCTTAAGATTTAAAATTACACCTCAAGCATAAATATCAGTGAAGTATTTCGGGTGAAAAAGGGCTGTTACAGCTTATTTTATTAGGAAGATAGATAATGTTAAACAAGGCAATGACATATCACATGCTTAATACCAGATATTAAAGGGTAATGATTGACCGAAGAGCCGTTTATTTACAAAAGCAAATAATAAAATCAATTACAACAATGAATATTGGCCGATACGCGGCAGAGCTGCCCACGGGGGGTAGATTTCCGGGGGTAGATGTCCGGGGGTAGATGTCTGGGGGTAGATGTCTGGGGGTAGATTTCCAGTCGCGGGCTGTTTCACGACCGTGTATAAGCCCCGCCCCTCGTGACGTCAAAATGACGTAGGCGTTTTTTCATGGGGGTAAATATCCGGGGGTAGAAATCCGGCGACCCCTTCCCCGTAGCAGCAAACCTAAGCACTTGTTAAATTTAATGTTATTTAAATAGGGAATAAATAATATGTCTTATTTATGGAAATATTTGAGTAAAAATGTAATCAGAAAAGTTGAAATTCGCTTAGTCTGCAGGTTTGCTGCGGCGGGGGTATTTATGACGTTTTAATTAGTACTGTTATGAGTTGTAAATGGAAATTAATTGTATTTATTGAAAATGATACTGGTAACAGCGGTTTGAAAAAAGAACCATATTATTCTTTGGTATACTTTTTTGGTCTACATAAGCAGAGCTAAATTTGTAAAAAATGAGGTGCCGGAACTATAACCCATTTAATGTAATTTGTATCGATTTATAATAAATCATTTATCATTTATGCTAATATTTTTTATCTTCCCGAAAGAGAGGTACCAGAATTCCGTTCCGCTGTGTTCCCCGCAAATCGAGCACTGTACATAAGCACCTAATTCTAAAAATACTAGACAAAGGTCTGCTGCTGGTTATTTTGATAAAAAAATACTGTTTTTTAATTAATTTGTTTTGCTGTTGCCTGTGAGTTTTTCTTATATTGAGAGTGGTAATGTCATACATAGACGGCTTAAGTAATTATTTTCAAATTTCGCTTGGTGAAAAGACCATTTTTATCGGCGAGTGCTTACATCTATTATGGCGTTAAAAAATCCTCCCAGAAATCCACCCAACGGATTCTCAAAGTTTCATTGCAATCCTTATGGAAGCAGTATTTGCCACAAGGTTAGCACTTGCCTTTAAATGCAGTACCTCAGAAAACAGCTGATAGAATAATGTTGTAAATAATAATCTTAGATTATTACTAGCTGTGTGCCCGTTCTACGCACGGGGATCTTATAGTAGTCAGTTGAAACCTTCTTATATTAAGATTAAGAACAGCAGTTAGTTTGCATATTTGCAGATATGCTGGCAAAACTATTATATATAAACCTTCGCAAATACAGTATCTGACAGTTCAAGCCAAAATAAATGCTTCGCAATTAAATGTCACCCGGATCGTTATGGTCCATATGTCCAATGATTAAACTAAAAAATGTTTTATAGATCCATGAAGCGTAGCCCTAAAGTAGGCCTATAATTGAAAGTTACTTTCCACATCGGTTAACTTTAACGTATTTAAAGTACTACCTCAACCTCACCATTTAACACTTTATTCCGGTTGACATTTTCAGTATCATCTCTCATATATGTTTGACCAATTAGGTTATTCACAATCTACCTCCCTGTGGGAAATGGGAGGGAAACAACAGCTGTGATAATGTTGATAATGCAACAGTGCTTGGATCTTAAATCTGATGGAGAATCTTGGCGTGGAATTAAATTATCTACAAATTTATAAATTTTTATTTAACGTCCTTTTCTATCTCAAACCTTTTTTTAGTATACTCAGTTTATAGACAAAACTGTGAAAACTGACTTTTTCCTCATGTTAGCGTCTTAATACAAAGCAGTTCTCATTTAACCACTATTACCAAACTTTCTTTAATTAAAAAAGCAGTATATTTTATTTAATAAAAATACAATACAATAAAAAGTAGTTTAAAACAAATTGTACAAATGCTTGAAATACACAATTTATTACATTTTAGTAGTTATTGCTCATGCTATTACTTTTTTCATACTTATAGGTACTTCTGAAATACGTACCGAATAAAACCCGTAACCTCGAACAAACATTCTAAAATTTCTATTAGAAAATTCTATTTTAGTATTAGTGGCTACCAGCCAAACTGTTGTAAAATAGTGATAGTTTTTGTTAAATGTTAATACAGTACAGGGACAAATTAACTACCTACAGCAAACCTGCGTACTCAACCAATTCCCAATAGATTTTGACCATGATACAGGCCATAATAGCTGATCTGATGTTTTGTTTAGATTTTTGCTCATGCCAAAACAAACTATTCTATTTATCTATCTTCGCAATGATGTGGTGCGTCCTCTTCCTACAGTCTCTTCAAAAACTTCTAACAAGCTTGACGATATTAACTTCTCAGAACTCCCTGCTATGAACTCAGGTCAAAAATTGAAATGTAATATTGGTAGCCAAAGATATATTATAAATAAGAGACACAAAAACCAACAGTAATATAAAATCAGGAGCATGTCGAGACAGTAACATTTCCTTCACTATGGCCTGATCATCAGGAAAACCCACAAATCAGATAAATCTGAATTAAACTACACAGGCTACCATTGCTATTGATTTCCAGTCAATCGTCCTAAGAAATGTCTGACAAAGACTTACCTCTCATCCAATACGTTATCCCACCAACAATCACAGTAATGGTGCAATAGCCCATCTCCTATGTCCATTTAATTCATTCTTATTAGACAAAAAATAAATAAAAAAGGTCATCAGCGGTAGTACTGTACAGGGTTCATAGTAGTACTGTAATTTGGATGAAACACAAAGCTTTTTCGGGCAAAACTGACGGTTACCAGGTAGTATACACTTGTAATATAATATTAGGATTG